AAAAACATCCCTGTGCATATCTTTTCTAGTGAAATATACCTTGAAATAATAACAATAAAGTATTCTTTCAATCCTTGATATCATTAAAAACAAAAATAGAAAGCTATCTTGCAATAAAACAATCCCAAATTAACCAAAATAAGGTTTTATAGAAGAAATGTCTTACCGTCTTTAGAAATCCTATTAGTTGGCATAATACTGTGAAATTAAAAAAATAAAATAAAGTTGACTAGTCTGACAAATGAAATACAGGAAGCAAGGCAAAGTGGCAAAGCCCTCTTCACTACAGTGTTGTTCTGAGAACAGTAGCTGGTGGAAGAACATACTCAAATACTGAATTTGTCCCTTGTCTTTGAAATATTTGTCTGAGTCCAATAGAGACAGTCAGCTCAAGAACTGCAACGGCTTCTAAATTTTTCTTTCTGTGTGTTTGGACCAGTCTTCTCACTGCCTGAGTGGCAGTGTGCTATGAACAATCTGTGGAATTATAATTACCTAGGCAGTATATCTAGGATGTTTTATAGGTGGGCTCTGTTTTACTGACGTTCAGAAGAAGGAGGAATTAAGAATATTCACAACTTAAGTGATTACTATGAGCTGTTGCTCTATGCTTATCAGGATAGAAATGAAGATACACTGTGCTTATCTTCACTGTTCATTCTAAGAAGCTGTCTTTGTAAGTCTGTTTTTGTGTATGTTCCATATTTAAAAGATAAAGCAATGCACATCATGTTTTCTTATCTGAATTTTTATTCTTGATTATGCTGTCAAGGTGATGAATATGTATAGATAGGCACATAGCAAGAGAACTTCTGAAAGTGATGGAGATAAGAAAATACAGAGAATAGTATTCTCAGTAGTAGACAAATGAGAGGAAAATCTGGTTACATTTGGTATTCGATTCTTTTAATCAGTGCTTGTAAGGCAGACTTACAGAGCTGTTTAGAGTATTTCGCATTCCCTACTTCTTATGTGCAAACCCAAAGGACATTAGTCAAGCAGAAGATGACTGCTTTGGTAAATTTTATCTATTCTATTTTTGTAATGCTTTTTTTAAACAGCCTTTCTTCATTCAGGTGTCGTAAGTTTTATTTCTTTATGGACCTTGATTTCTTGCTGGCTGTTGCGATAACTGTATTTTTAACATAGGAATAAAAGTCGTCTTCATCTTATGCTAGTTACTGTTTATCATACAGACGGTCAAATACCAGATCATTGAACTCCAGGGTGTTTTGACTTTGACGTTTAACTTCTGGGTTAATCTAAATTACCTCCTGATGCGATCTCCTTTTTCCTTGTTTTATCCTCCACCCCTAAGTCTGGCTAGCTCACACAACGTTTGCTTTGGCTTATGTTGTTTATAAAGTCACTTCTAGATTCCTCAATACCTACAGTACCATCACTTATGGCCTCATTCGAGCCTGACCCCTATGAATTCTTCGCTACACATTATAACCTGCTAACCCAAGTAAATTAACCCTTGTCACATACACTCTATAAATAACTACATATTATAAATTGTTTGTTTTCTAACAGCACCAGATAGTCTATTACTTCATTAATGCACAGTACTGTCCTTGACTTTGTATTGTTTTAGTGTTTTCTCCCTAGCTAGATGGCAAGTTTCCGGGGAGATTGGTCATATTTCTATGAGAAGAGAGAGATGAAATAAAAATGATTTTGAATCCAAATAATCAAGATGGCCATGTCATATATGTATGCTTTGCAAAAGTAGTTGTTAAGGAACTAATTGATAATTTATTAAAGGGAGTCTCTTCTCATGAGAAGCAGACAAAGAGGTTTTTATAAATGTGGCAAACATGCAAGGACATAGTGATGTTGCCAGTAGATGTAGCCGGTGTCCAGGTTCTTGTCCCATCCCCAAAAGAATTCAGAGACAAGATGCAGAGGTTAAGAAAGTAAAGTGAGGATTTATTAAGGGATAAATAGTACACTCTCAAGGGGAGAGTGGGCAGACTCAGGTGAGCGGCTGCCCTGAGTTTCTTGGGCAGTGGAATATTCATTAGGGAGGGAAGAGTTTGGGGTCATATTCCCTGATTTTCATCCTAACTCTACCTTCCCAAAGGGAGAAGGACTGTTTGTTCTTATTTAGTCTGGATCGGAGTGTAATGGCGTTGATACATGATGGGTACTTGTACTCTGCAAGGCTTATTTTATTAAAATGAGGGCGTAATAAGTAAAACTTACCTTTGGACACTGGAGATTCCTGCCTTTTTCCACCTTTCTTTGTTGGCTTGGGCCGCCTATCACCCCAAAAGGTGTGACCACTTATCAGCCCAGCGGTCCTGCTCTTCTCTCTCTGCCCAGGGACCCCTGCTGCTCACATGATGTGTGGTTTCCTGCATTTGGCTTGTCTTTCCTTTCTGTCCAATTTCTTCCATTTGCCCTGCATCCCCCTTCCTCTGCTCATGTCTGGCTATCTGCCTCCTCTACCAGTGAGAGGAGACATGTTTGACACATTACAACAAAATAGCTAGAATCTTTAAGCCGATTCTCTTCTCCATAAAGTTACATTCTTAGCATTTGTCAAGAATCAGATTTGATTGCTTGTTCAGAGCTGCTTTTACATTCAGACATTTCATAACATTTCTACCTGTCAAAATATGGATTGTTGTATTTTATATAAACGAGGAACTTTTTACTCTTTATTTGGTAAAATGAAGACTAGAGAATGTTGACCTACCAACTCCTTAATTTTTATGATTTTAAGGTTATAAACGTCATTGTTTTCCTTCTCTCTCTTTTTTTTTTTACTAATATTTATAAACTTTTTCATTGAAGTATGCACACACACACACACACACACACACACCAAGGAAAGTTACCCTTCTCAAGGATGCATTACTTAACATCTGTAAGTCATCAGTGAGAAAACTGGGACAGAACCTGCGACTGGAAGTACGTATCACACACAGATTGTTATTGAACTGAAACTCGCCCGCTCGCCCGCCCGCCGTAAAGCCAATGTACTGACACTGGGTTGCTGTAAAGGATAGTGCAGCATTTATTGCAAGGTACCATACAAGGTGTCCAGGATGGCTAATGCTCAAAAAAACTAAACTCCCCGATGCATTTGGGGAGAAAGCTTTACACAGGCAAAATCTGGTGGAAGGGCTGCAGGGTATGCAGCCCTCCTTTGATGGGTTGGTGGTGAGGTAACCGGGTGGTGCTCCAGGAATCTCAGTCATCAGCCTTCTGGTTCCAGCCAGTCAGGGGTCCATGTGCTTATGCTCAGCTGGCGG